CACGCGTTATAAGATGCATCGCGCGCGATGTATTCATTACACTCCTATCACGCACACGATGGCGCTCGATATTGCGCGTGATTATTCCAATAGTTGTATCAATTTCGCTCATTTTTTCATCAGATTTTCACTAAGTTTTTATTTCTTCATACTTATTGATTTTTGCATATTTGTTTGGTATCTTTATTCTTCATTTTTGCTTATCTTTGATGTGTTTTGCTCTATTTTTTCGACATAAAACATGCAATGGCATAGTGTCATCAAATTTACACTCACGAACATGAACTTCAATTTCCCTGACACAAGATTATAAACTCTATAGTTGTTTGTAACTTCTAAGTCGATGTGGCCACACATGCATACAAATTCCCCCATCCTGATGAACTTGCTTGCGGATGATTTGAAGGTTTCCATTTGTGCCACCTAGAGCATTATGTAACCTGCATGAAGGTTGTTGTAATGAAAATGAATCGAACATGGAGTTTTTAGGAAGAATAGTATGTGTGTGGTCAGTTCTATAATGAAGAAAATATGTTTGGAGTGAATCAATTATGTAAAATTGATTTTGACTAAAAGTGAGTTTAAGATAAAGTGATTTATATTTAGATAAATTTATGCAAAATTGAGTTGAACACTAAATTTTAATTTAAAATTACGTTTAAATTCAAAATTCTCCTTGCTTATGTCCTTATTGATTTTTTTAATAATCCATACAAATCCTCCACTCTATAAAAAATTAGGTGGGATAAGCTCATATTTTTCATTAGCAATCACTATCGCACCTTCTTTCTTCTAGACACAATGCACAATACTCACCCATACAATATCAAATATGGGATATACTATCCAAACATCTAACCACTTGATGATTTCCGTATTGACTACATCTTTCAGGACTGGGTTGAGTCTCATTTACCTCTTAATGCTAATCTTTGCATTTTCTTCCAATAGAATTCTATGAATGCATACAATCATGATTCCTTATTCTATATATTATTTATTATCATCAAATGATGATAACTCTTTCTTCAAATAATCATATGATCTTGCAAGAATTTCTTACGCGTCAAAGATTATTTATAAACAATCACAAAAATTCATCATCTGAATACTCTTTAATGCATTTAACATATTAAAAACAACTTATTGATCATTGACCCTCATAATGAGTTCCCATTTTTCTATATCAAATTGAAGACTCCCTGTAGCAAGGAATGGTTTTACCAACATAATATAAGTTTCTTCATCGGGCATGAAATCCATGATTATGAAACTTGCAAGGAAGAAACACTTATCCACTCGAACTAAAACATATTCAATCATACCTTAGGGGTAGAATATGCTTATCTCAACCAATTTCAAAGTAATGGTTATTGGTCTTATTTTTCATGTAAATCTTAATAAAATTTGACAAAGGCGTCAAGTTAATACTTTCACCTTGTATTTGTGATTAGTACAATTGAGGTTACCCTACCTGCAGTAAGGTAAGAAACAGGTCTATTTTAGTTCTAATAGGTAAAACTGTGTTGTAAGACTACCTAACTAGGGTATTTATAGATGCAGGTACTAGATCAATTAGTTGTTAGAAAGATTGGCTCTAATGTCAATAAGTTCAGACATGCACCTCATGGCTTCATCTGGGCCATGTGAATGATTGAGACGAGTCATCATCATAATACAAAGTACATTTAGTCTATCAGACTTGTGATATTTCAATTATTCACCAAACATATGGCTTGACACATTCTCCGATGAGTCATTATAAAAGAATATCAGGTTGGGCAAGACAACATACTCGCCACCTGATCTTTCCCTTTATTGCTCGAGTATCCTTCATGTTATTTATAGTTTAGAAAGTTCATGGGTCGAGTTCTTTGAGCCTAACCAAAGTTATTCTAGTCGACAGTCTCTCAAGTAGAAGATCTATGGGGGTGAAGGGATTAAGATAGGGTGAAGTGATTAAGATAAGACATTCTAGTATACTTCCCCTTAAGCAAAAGGCATGTAGGGGTGAGGTGTTTTATGTATGTTTATTGGAGAAAATGTGCGAGCTTAATTTTGGTTGTGATGATCATGGGATTAGAGCCACGATCCATACAGGGGCGACACTGGATTTTGGGAATGATGGTGCATTTAATTTAAAACATCAATGAAAATTGTCTTGGGACCTTATTTCTTTATATTAGTTCATGTTCAACATTTCCTCAAGCAAGTCACGTGTATTGAGTTATGCTTCTCTTGTTTATCTTTTCTTTTACTTGTTTGAGAGATGATGATTATTAGTGAGTGTGACGAGAATGATGACTTGGTAGAACTTAGAACACATAACGAAATATGTAGGATGTGGAAATAATTGTAGTAAATTCAAGGCAGTGTAACATGATGGTTGATTGGAAGCTTGTAGAGTTAAGAATGTTTAGGGAACTATAATAATAGTTATAGTAGCTCTGATTCTAATGAGTAGTGATAGTGACTTTTTTTTAGTCCTATTCATTTCCAATACATTTGAGACCATATATGGAGAGAATAAACATTATTCGCTTCAGTGGAGGGGTTACCAACATTTCCTTCGTCTTCACCAATGTAACCAATGTGGCCTCGTTTTGTAAGAATTTAGATGTTGAACATTCAGTTCAAGGCATGACCACCATCAGTTCCTTTTGGGAGAAAGGTCACACCTCCCCTCTAGAACGAGAACTTATATGTAAATGGATTTGTAAGAGAGCACCTTAACTTCCTAAACGATATTGAAATGGCGAAAGTTTTAAGTTTGGGTTGGGGTACTAGAGAAAAATGGTAAAAAAAAATCAAAATTTTGAGAAAAAAGTTGGAAAAAGGAACTTTTTCAAAAAATAGAAAAAAAAATAGATTAAGATAATGCAACATGCATATTAAGGACCACAATAGTAATATCTCTAGGACCATGAAGGAGGAACGAAAGGGGGGTGATAAAAGAAGGATAACTAGGCACATAACTCCAAAGGTTTAAATCTACTTTTCCAAAAATATTCTACCCGAACATAAGCCAAGATACAACCGAAAGAACCCTCAAATATGTGTGTTTTGATTTCTTTGACAAATTACATTAGAACATGATCAAACACAATATAAACTCTTTTGCATGTTAGTTGAGATACTACCTTATCCATTGAGTGAGTCAATGTGAGATGAGAGACAGGTTGAGTACTTGTCAAAGTTTGAGGAAGTTTGTTGAATTTTTCGGATGGAAGTTGGAAGCTAGAACGATGGTCAGGTAAAGAAAATTTTATATGGTAATGTTCAATTGTTATTGTGGAACTTGTTTTCGGTTTGAAATTGGCAGTGCAGGCAAGTTACTTGAGGACAAACAATTGTTGTGCTTACACTGGTGGACTAGGGATATGAAACTCCGAGTAGTGACTTAAGAATTAGCGTTATATTGCATTGCCTAATATTGCTTACGTTGGTGGACTAGTGATAGAAAACAACGAGTATAGATTAGTGAGCTATACACCAAGGGATTGGGTATAACAATTTTGTTAATTCATCCTGGGACTATAGTGACGATATCATTCATGTAATACATCGAACATCAACAATAGAGAAATAGAAGATTATATATACAACCTGACCGCTTTCATATTATTGTCATAACACTTTATTTTCTTTTCGCAATTAAAACTCGAAAATCCCTCAATTTTGCATTTTCTACGCATTGCACAATATTGTCTTGTTAAATAACAGTCTATATGGATTCGATCTTTTTTATTACTGCGATATTATTGGTACACTTGCCGAGAAGTCGTCAAGCACCCCTTAAGACACAATGATACCCCTGTAGAGCGCAACAATTTCCATGAAATTGTCAAACAACAATACTTTAGAAAATATAGTGTCTCTTTAAAAACCATGCCCTTGCAAAGAAAAATAATGTCACCCTACTTCTTTTATTTATATACTGAGTCAGTGATACAAATGGTAGAAGTATATTTTATTGCCTTAATAATTTGATATGATAACAATCAACTACAATAGAGTCTCAGGTTCATAGAGTTCCAAGATACATGGATAAAACTATCATCTAATTCTTCCAACTTGTATGCGACATGTGACAACCTTTCGTGTATTTGGTAAGGTTCTTACCACTTAGGGGTGAACTTTCCTATTCGGGTAAGTGCCACAACTTGTCTAAGTATCACACCCCATTTTCACATCCCTTAGACTACTATGTAATTGTACCTTTTTGTGGCCCTATATTTGACTGCATACTCTTCAATGTGGGTTATCTCTCGTGCTTTATCGTGAGTTGAAGATAAATGAATTTATGTTTTGATAAATTTATACAAAAATGAGCTCAACAATACATTTTAATGTAAAAATCACATTTTAACTCAAACGCTACAAATTATACCTTCAAGATAAAGTCGACTTTAAAAAATAAAATGCAAATAAACATATTAAAATCAATTCTATACGTCTCAAAACAATTCTAGTTACTCCAACCGTGAAACAAAACCTACACTTTATCTCGAATTCAAATCTAAAAACTCAAAAATATGCTTGAGTTTTGAAATTATTGTAGTTTCATCTTAAAAACAAAACAAGAAAAAGCATCGAAGGAGTATTAAGATAACTTGACTTTGATTAAACTCATTAATCACTTTGATAGAGATTGAGATTGTGTCTTTTTAAGAGAAAGAGAGTAGGGTTGAGACTTTTTGAGAGGAAAAAAGAGCGAGGTGGCCCTAGAGTCTAGTGAAGCGATGCGAGTAGCTGCAAAAACTGTTATATATGTGCCTCCTTCGCCCACTCTCATTCTACTCTACTCTATTCTATAATATATATCCCACCGTACCCGTTACAATCTTCCATCTTTTTTCTTCTCATTAATCAAACATAGCATCATCCACCACTACCTCCATATAACTACTATATCTATATATCATCTCTCTGTCTCACTGTATTTTTCCTTCATTAAACTCATACATACCATATTCAGTTAGTTAGTGCATGATCCACCAATGGCTTCCGCCTGCATCAACAACATCGGAATGTCACCTGAGCCCTTCTTCTCGTGGGATCCCGAACCTGACTTTGAGTTCCGTCTTCAAGATCCCGTTACCATGCTTCCTGCCGACCAACTCTTCTCCGACGGTAAACTTGTCCCTCTCCACTTCAAACCAACCACCTCCATCTCCGCTACTACTTCTCCCAAGAAAGCCACCGCTTCCATAACAACCTCCGACCCCATTCTCTTCTCTCCTAAAGCACCACGTTGCTCCAGCCGCTGGAAAGACCTTCTCGGCCTCAAAAAACTCTACAGCTCCACCAACACAACAACAACATCAACAACCAAGACATCTCCGGCTACTTCATCCTCTCCTTCAAACAAATCCTTCAAACACCTCCTCAACCGGAACTCCAAAACGACGTCGTCATCAGACAACGGTTCTCTCAGTCTTCCTCTACTTCGAGACTCCGACAACGAATCACTCTCGATCTCTTCTCGTCTCTCGCTTTCCTCCTCATCTTCAAGCCACGACCACGACGATCTCCCACGGCTCTCTCTCGATTCAGAAAAACCCAACCCGATTTCCATCCACCGTAACCCAAACCCGAACCCGAATCCAAGGATCCGTTTAGTCAAACCCCGAACAGGCTCCTTCGATGGAAACAAACCGGATCAGCACAACAACAATAACCGCTCCGGGAGAAGCCCGATCCGGATGGAATCATCCAATACGCAAGGGTGCAGGGGAGCTTCAGTGGATAGCCCTAGATTAAACTCCTCAGGGAAAATCGTTTTCCAGAGCTTAGAACGTAGCTCGAGTAGTCCCGGGAGTTTCACCGGCGGGCCCCGCTTTAAGCATCGTGGAATGGAACGGTCGTATTCCGCCAATGTCCGGGTCACTCCGGTTCTCAATGTCCCGGTTTGTTCATTAAGAGGCGGTTCAAAATCCGGTTCGGTTTTCGGGTTTGGGCAGCTTTTTTCTTCCCCGCAGAAAAGAGAATCTACATCTGGTGGTAACAGCAAGAGTCATCCACATCAACATCAACACCAACACAGTGTTAGGCATCAACAACACAAACACCCTTAGACACAGTTGGTAACCGTTAATTTTAACTAGGATGTTTTGTTCTTGTTTTTTTTTTTCCTTCTTTTTTTTCTGAAGGTTAATCTATGTTCTTGTCTATTTCGGAATGAAAACATTGTAGAAGCATTGACACTGTTAATTAACAGGTTTTAAAATTTTTAATTAATCTTGTTGTGAATTTTATTATAATGTTTATTTAATTTTAACTAGGAAATGATGCCAAAGATTGAAACAGAGGCGTGAATTATTTTCTGATGCTCAAACTTTATGTCTACAATATTTTACTCTGCGGTTGCATTGAAAACACACTGTACACTATTTCTTTTAGCTAAGTGACAAATTACTGTTTGATTGTTTATTTATATAAAAAAATTGGAGACGTTAATGGGAGATGGAAGAGAGGAAATGAGTCTCTGGGTTAACGGTCGGTGGTCCACACCTGAGACGTTAATGAAAGATTGAATTGAGTGGGACAAGTTTCTCTTGTTTTAATCAAAATGTGTACTTTGATTGGGGACATGGTATGAGTTCCCAGAAGGGATTATGAATAATTTAACTTAAATTTTTCTGTGTGGTTGGGAAAGAACATCCACATATATGTGGTCATCTTTGTCCTTATCTTTTCAATTGGTATGAAATTGTTTTTCATCACTTCATCTTCTTTCCGTCTCATTGTAGACATGATTATCCATTGATATGGGTCCGTCTGGTAGGGTCCTTTTCCTTATTGTTGCAACTAATTTGATGTGCTAAACTTTATATAGGCACTAGCCGGAACTTGATGAAAACGTTATCTCATCAATTGATTTCATTCAAAACTCAAATCCAACCATTTATTTGAGAAATAAGCACTAGTATAAGCTGGGAATATGCTAAAAGCACGTGATGAACACGTTGGCAAGCATAAAATCCAAATGGCATGTGAGAGCGTGGTTTTTTAAATGCTTTGTTTGATTAAACTAATGACAAGTCTCATGTGTTAGGACGAGAGAGACAAGTTCTTTCTTAATTATAATAATAAAAATCAGTGTTGATGTGTTAAAACTTTATAGTACTACTAAAGATAATCAGTCTTTTCAAAAGTTAATCAATCTTGATTAAGTATAGTTTTTAATTTAGACAAATGAATTGAATTGTTTTCATGGGGCAGAGTTGATATTGCACAAATTATAGTTGTCGTTGTCTACCTGAGTGGCGGGGGTTTGTCGTGCCAAGTTGCGTCCCATCCTTATTTATCCCGCAGGCTTTGGGTTAGGAGCTGTGCCCTATCGCTTTAATATGATTTGACATTTTCTCCTTCATCTATTACCCAAAATGAAATAATTCTACAGTATTTTCTAACTTTTGACTGGATTTCTTTGGAAGAACGTTTTATTGATTATCCAACAAAACATTTCTCCATAATTATCAATGACATCATTTACTATTAGGATAGCATCGTATTTATATTAAGTGTGCTTTTTTGTTTTAAAATAAATAACACTGCAAAGTTTGAAACTTTAATGGGATTTAAGAGAGTTACTTTTAATTCACGCTGATTTGAGAATTTACGCTAGATTAATAAATGTCGTGATTTCAGTTTTAAGTTTTTGACGAAAATTGAGAGATTACTAGTATCAAACTAGTATATCAAATATAGAAACAACAAGAGATGGCCATTTTAAACGGTCAAAAATAGTTTAAAAATAGTAAGATAACTAGTTTGAGTTGTCTTACATGGATCTCTAATTTTATAGTAGTAATTATTATCAAATAAATAAAATCAAAGAGATTTATAATTGAAAACATACTTGCTTAAAGAAAAGATAATTTAATTAATTAAAAATCAATTGTTGTAATGTAATTTAGATTCTAAGACATTCATTTGCATTTTATTTATACTTGACTTTAAATTTGATTCGAGTTTGAAAATGAAAGGTTAGTTACAACTTGTAACAATTCTTCTATTTTGAAAAAAGTTAGTTAGAAAATCCGTCTCTCTCTCTCTTCATTATTTATCTTCATCTTCTCCAATTCTTGTGTATTGTTAATGAAAGTTTATTGTTTAATTCCAACAATTGATATCCAGAATTTCGGTTCGATTCACAGAGAAACACGAGTGTAGTGAGGCGTGTGATTGATTTCAATTTTGAAATTTATGTTAAATTGAAGTTTGAAATAGGAGAAAATCACAGATCTTGATTCTCAAGGTTGGGAGACACGACTGTTGGTAAGAACTGAGTGTCTTGCACAAGAACGAAGATGAACAACATAAATGGTAGGTTGAACACAAAGCTTCCACTATTCGACGGAAAAAACTAGAATCGGTGGTAGATTTAAATTCGTGCGTTGTTTGGAGCTCAAGATGTTCTTGATCTTTTCAATGACAGTTGCACGCTAGTTATAAAAAATGCAATAGAAGCACAAAGAACTACATAACGAGAGACGTGGAAGAAGGATCAGAAGACGTTGTTCTATATCCATCAGTTAATGGATGCGAAGGTTTTTAAGAAAATTGTTGATTTGATGACGACGAAGGTGGCACGGGATACATTGGTACGGTGCTACGGTGGTAAAACATCAATGAAGAAGGTAAAGCTTCCGTCCTTACATAAGCAATATGAGAATCTCAACACAAAGAACAATGAGAAAGTACCTGATTACATCTGCAAAGTAATTATGGTCACTAATGAGATGAAGTCTTGTGGAGAAACACAAAGCTTCTACTATTCGACGGAAAGAACTATAATCAGTGGTCGATTCAAATGCATGTGTTGTTTGGAGCTCAAGTTGTTCTTGATCTCGTCAAAGACGGTTACACACCAGTTGTAGAAAATGCAACAGAAGTGAAAAGAACTACGCAAAGAGAGTCATGGAAGAAGGATCAGAAGATGTTGTTCTATATCCATCAATGTATGGATGCGAAGGTGTTTGAGAAAATTGTTGATTTGACGATGACGAAGGCGATATGGGATACACTAGTACGGTGCTATGGTGGTGACGCATCAGTGAAGAAGGTCAAACTTTAGTCTTTACATAAGCAATATGAGAATCTCAACACGAAGAACAATGAGAAGGTACCTGATTACATCTCCAAAGTGATTGTGGTCACTAATGAGATGAAGTCTTGTGGAAAAACACTCTCTAAACAAGTAATCATTGAAAAGGTACTGAGATCTCTTACTCCTCAGTTTGATTATATAGTTGTAGCCATAGAACAATATAAAGATATTAGCATCATGAGAGTTGTAGAGCTTCAGAGTAGTTTAAAGACACAAGAGTTGTGTTTGACTAAAAGAAACTTTGAACAAGAGTTAGAACAAGCTCTGAAAGCTTCTTCTGGAAAGAAGAACTAGAAGAAAGCAAGGTTAGAGAACAAAAAGAAGTATGGTTGTGGTGTTCAGAAGTCAGAACTCTATAATTCTGATAAGAAACATTAAGGTTGAAGAAGGAAGCAAGGGTGAAGAAGACAACATAGCCCTAGTAGATTATGATGATGAATTTGTGCTATTGATAGCATTTGAGAATGTAGGTGGATGAATGGTAGATTGGTGGTATATGGACACTCGTTGCTCAAATCACCTAACTGGAAACAAGCAATGGCTAATTAATTTTGACTCTGGTAAAATAACCAAGATCAGATGTGATAATAATGATTATCTGAATGCTAAAGGAATGAGAAATGTCAGAGTTAAATTGAACAATAGAAAATTGTATTGATCAAGGACGTATGGTATGTTCCTGGCATGAATAGAAATCTGATGAGTGTAGGTCAGCTGATTGAAAAAGGTTTTTAAGTAACCAAGAATGACAATCTCTTGAAGTTGTATGACTGTAATCAGAAGCTGATTATGCAGTCTGAATTTGGAAGAAACAAAACATTCAAAGTGAATGTTGCAACAACACACACTCAATGCCTTAGTGCAAGAAGTGCTAAAGGGAAAAATGAGTTGTGGTACAAGAGATTGGGGCATATGAAATACAAAAGCTTAGGGAATTTGAGTTTAAAGAATTTGGTATATGGAATTCCTAAGTTTGTGGCACCATAAAAATCATGTCATATATGCATGAGAGGCAAGCAACCAATATTGCCATTCTCATTAGAAATGCCTCTAAGAGTAACTCAAGCTTTGGGTGTGCTGCATTCTGATGTTTTTGGTCCATTTGAGGTACCCTCGCTTGGAGGGAACAAATAATTTGTTTCATTTGTGGATTACATCACAAGAATGGTATGGGTAACCCTCGTTAAGTTCAAACCCAAGGCTAAAAACAAAGTGGATAAAGGTTGAAGATCCTCAGAACTTATGATGGAGGTGATTTCAACTATACACAATTCAAGAAGTTATGTGAGGAACATGGTATTGAGCATGAGGTAGCTGCTCCATACACTCTACAACATAATGGTCTTACTAAAAGTAGAAATAGAGCTCTACTTGACATGAAAAGGAGCCTGCTGAAGGAGAAAAATGTGCCTAAGCAATTATGGGGTGAATCAATTGCTAATCAACATATGTGCTCAATAGATGTCCAACAAAGTAGTTAAAGGAGTCAATTCCTATCGAAAGGTGTATTGGAAGAAAGAAAAGTGTCATCCATTTCAAGGTGTTTGGTTCTATATGTTTCAAACATATACTAGATGCTACTAGAAAGAAATGAGATGTCAGAAGCAAGGTCATGTTACTTATAGGTTGTCACAATGCAGGTGCTTATAAGCTTTCTTGTCCACTCACCAACAAAGTTGAAGTCAACAAAGATGTCATACCGAAAGAATCAGAAACATGAGATTGGAGCAAGTCTCAATCTAACTCTAGTGAAGTGTCAACACTAGAGTCTGATTCTTCCTCTGAAGGAGATTATACCTCTAAAGAAGATTCAGCTTATAAAGGTGACTCTGACTCTGAGTGAGAGTCTGAATCTGAAGATGACTCTAACTCTAAAAGTGAGTCGAACTTTGAAAATGACAATGATTATGAAGGTATGTCAGACTCTGATGAAAGATCAATCTCTGAAGGTGATCCAACCTT